CGGTAGCTGCAGGCAGCGCGGCCGGGAAGGCAGCTCGGCTGCCTTTCGCTGAGCGGGTTTGGACGCCGATCCTGTGTAGATCCGTGCAAAACTCGTGAAACCCACGGCTCCCCCATCGGTTCCTTCTGTGTAATGCCCTAAAAACGCGGGCGGAAGCGGGGTGGGTGCGGGGAGAGGGGAGGCAGCCGGGCAGAGCGCACGGCGGCGGGCCGGGGTGCGGGCCGGGGTGCAGCCCGCGCCTGCCGCAAGCCCTGGGGCGAAGCAGACGGGTGGCGGGGGACACGGAGGAGAATGTGAAACCTCCTATCGTTTTCCTTTCAGCTGGAAGGTTAGGACTGGTGGACCTGGCGTGCTTGGTCAGTACATCAGCTTTTAAATAAAATTATTAGTTTATAAATGGCTAAAAAGAGGCAGCAGTGTGGAGCAGGAGAATTGAACCCGGTGGTGTCTGGCAGCCCTCAGTAGGGCGGCGATGATGGAGTAACCGGGGGTATCCTGAAGCTCTGAGGTTTATAAAGCAGCAGCAGAGGCAGGCCCAGCTCCCACCGCTCGTTGGGGCTTGCTCTCCTGGAGCCGCACGGGATGAGGGAACTGGCTTCGGTTCAAGCACAGCAAAAACATTCTCATTTTTCAACTGAATTACGCTCTAATCCACTTTGTCGTGTTTTCACTAAAGCTTCGGCTGATAAAAGGGAGCAATATTTAGATTAAAATTTTGAAGTGGGACATCTGAAAGTAATTTTTTTTTTTTTCACAGGTGAACGGGATCAGTGCAAGGAAAAGCAGGATCAGTTGTGTTGTGGCACGTCCCCTCCTCTCTGGGCGTCACATGCTGCTGGTTGTGCAATGCATGTGACTGTAGCCGCTGCTGCTTGGAAAGGTCCAGAGAGACGGTGTTGTTTTCTAGTCAAGGCTTTGGACTTCAGCACCTCAGGGCTGCCGTTGTCCTTGCTTCCGAGTGCAAAATGGAAGAGATGGGTCTAGGTATAAAGTAGACTGAAAAACCAGTGCAAGGAAATGTGAGATCAGGTGTGCTTTGCAACACGTAGGTCTTCATAGTTAGCTTGGAGGCAGGGGAGTAAAAATGCTGGAAGAGATGAGCACTGGAGCATTTCTAGGCTTTAAATCAGTAAATCACCAGGCTTTAATGTTTCCAGTGCCACTTTTTAACTGGCATCTTCCAAAACCTGTTCAAGGCAAAGCTGAGGTATGAGAGCAAAATGGCTCTAGAAAAAAAGAGGAGGTGCCATAGCAAGATACCTTTTTTTTCTCTTTTATTTGGGTGACTTTGTGCAGTGTTGGGATTGCTCAAAGGCTCCATAATTACACGGAGTGTATTGAAATAGAAATGAAGTTCCTTCCTAGGTTTTGATGTAGGTGAGGAAGGATTGTCTGCTTAGTTGGTATGTGAACACTGTTACACTGAACATCAAATTTTGTTACTAACTTTCATGGCCTGAAGAATTTCAAATTTAGGTAATTACCTTCTAATAATGTGATGTACAGGCAAAAATAAAAGATCATAGAATCATTTAGGTTGGAAAAGACCTTAAAGATCGTCAAGTCCAACCATTAACCTAGCACTGCCAAGGCCACCACTAAACCATGTCCCTAAGCACCACATCTGCACGTCTTTTAAATACCTCCAGGGATGGGGACTCCAACCACTTCCCTGGGCAGCCTGTGCCAGTGCCTGACTACCCTTTCGGTGAAGAAGTTTTTCCTAATATCCAACCTAAACCTCCCCTGGTGCAGCTTGAGGCCGTTTCCTCTTGTCCTATCGCTTGTTACTAGGGAGAAGAGACCGACCCCCACCTCGCTACAACCTTCTTTCAGGTAGTTGTAGAGAGCAATAAGGTCTCCCCTCAGCCTCTTTTTCTCCAAACTAAATCCCAGTTCCCTCAGCTGCTCCTGATGGGACTTGTTCTCTAGACCCTTCACCAGCTTTGTTGCCCTCCTCTGGACACACTCCAGCACCTCGATGTCCTTCTTGTAGTGAGGGGCCCAAAACTGAACACAGTACTCGAGGTGCGGCCTCACCAGTGCTGAGTACAGGGGCACTGTCACCTCCCTGGTCCTGTTGGCCACACTATTCCTGATACAAGCCAGGATGCCATTGGCCCTCTTGGCCACCTGAGCACACTGCTGCCTCACGTTCAGGCAGCTGTCAACAAGTACCCCCAGGTCCTTTTCTGCCAGGCAGCTCTCCAGCCACTCCTCCCCAAGCCTGTAGCGTTGCCTGGGGTTGTTGTGACCCAAGTGCAGGACCCGGCACTGAGCCTTGTTGAACCTCATACAGTTGGTCTCGGCCCAACGATCCAGCCTGTCCAGGTCCCTCTGTAGGGCCTTCCTACCCTCCAGTAGATCACCGCTGCTGGCTGCAAACTTACTGAGGGTGTGCTTGATCCCCTCATCCTGCTCATTGATAAAGCTATTAAACAGAACTGGCCCCAGTACTGAGCCCTGGAGAACACCACTTGTGACCCACCGCCAACTGGATTTAACTCCATTCACCACAACTCTTTGGGCCCGGCCATCCAGACAATTTTTTTACCCGGCAAAGAGTATGCCTGTCCAAGCGGTGTGCAGCCAGTTTCTCCAGGAGGATGCTGTGGGAAGATGGGTATATAAATATGAAATAACCTAGAGAATGACAACCTGTAAGAAAACCAAATATATTGACCATGTCCCCAAGCAGCCACAAATGGAGAAACACCAGACTTCTGTGGGGAGCTGGCTGTGAAAACACCAATTGAATGCGAGCTGCTTTTTGTGTAATCTTGTTTTTTCATTTCCAGGCTGTCAGTGTTGCAGTTCGTGGCACAGACCAAAGCCCAGAGAAGTCAAAAGAAGGATTTCCATTGAATTCTGTGGGCTTTGCCTGGTCTCTTAGCAAATTACGCTGTCATCCTATTGAAACAAATGAAAAAAAAAAATTAGAAAGTGTACAAATGTTTGGATGCTTATCCCTGCTGGATTCCTACGGCAGATCTCTGCATCACTGTTTATATTCCTTAGCAACCACAAGTCGAGTGCTCCCTTCTTCCTACTGTGTGAGAACAGTTATTTCCTTGCCGTCTTTGTGTATTACGTGCACACTTAGAACAGTGGCTGTTTGCTGCGAGTCTTAGATAATTCACAAAGCACTGGCAAGGCCCACATGTGGTTGTTTCTAATGAGAAATATCTCCTGTCATCTTAAAACGTACTCTGCCGCTCTCCAAAGTCTCTACATGCTGAGCCTAAGCTCTGTCCAGTTATGTGTTAAAAAAGCAACCAACAAACAGAGCAAAAAACCCTAAAGCAATTTGACTTAAGAGAACAAGCTGATCAGGCAAATGATATTCCTGCGCTGTTTCCTTCTCCCCTAAGGCCTTCAGAAATACCAAAAGAGTATTCCTTTTAAGAGGACCAAGAGAAGAGCAAAGAATTGACAGAGTAAACACCAAAATCCAACCCAGATGCTGTTTTTGCAACTGTATCAATTTTGGTGTCAAGTGTAAATAAGAAGCTGCAATGGAGCCTGGGGTACTATAATTTTTATAGTTTTAAAGCAGGTTTATTCTGTAAGATTTGTTGAGTGCCCTAT